AAAGAAACTCCGGAGGAGATTGGAGGCTGCTGTGTGAAGGCCACCCCAGAAGTGTTTCGGCCGGTGCTGGTGCAGGGACTGGGTTCACCGGACACACCCAGTTTGGTCATGGGGCTGCTCTGACAGGGAGCAACTGCACCTCTGAAAAGGTGGTGGGAACTGCTGTAGCTGGGGGTCCCTTGAGAGCACCCTGAAAAACAAAGCAACAATGTTGCAGAGAGGACATTCCTGCTAAGGAAAGGCATGGAGCCAGCAGCAGAGCTGAGAGACAATTAAAAACTGTGGTGGGTCCTAGAAAGTCCTCTCTCCACAAGGGACTGGGAAGAATTCATTTCTTTGGACTGGACATTTTAGCCTATTGTAACCTTATCTCCAAAACCTTTCCCCTGCTAACTGAGCCCCTTTCCACTTAGCTATCCAACCCACTCTATATCCACAAACGCCTAAGTGCCCATTATAAATATTGCCAAAATAGTTTGGTTCTAAAGAGTACTTCTACATTTAAAGAGTTCTATACCTTACATACCTGGGGGGGGGGGGGGGGGTGTCATAGCTTTTAAACACCTGGAGCCCATTATCTTATAATTAGGTTTTAAAAACAGAGGGCAGAGGCAAAAACAGGGGTTATGTTAAAACAAACAAAACAAAAAACCACCACCACCATCCAATCATATACTGTTGTTTAGAACCAAGTGACTCTGGGACCCAATCCTTTACATGTTTGGAAATTACCTGCACCTGAGGATTCATCCCAGGACTCCTCAAGGTCACTGGTTTCTTGCATCTGGTCAGTGATTCTCAGTTGACAATCCTCATCTGATTCCTTAACTGTTTTCGAGATAGGCTGATAATCTGCTGCCTGAGTCCTTTTTGGTTTCAGAATGTCGGTTCCCTCTTCCCCTGGGTTGCCAGAGGCCAATAAGTTCTGAGTATAGTGCTTAGCCCAAGCAGCATCCTCCATTAAGTTGTCTGGGTCAGTCACTACCTGATTTCGGAGAAGCTGATCCAAGGTCTCATAAAATGGACAGTGTGGTGGGTCACCCATACTTGTGGCATGGGCAACATATGCCTTTAGATATAATGCCTTCAGAACTTTAAACTTGGAGCGGCACTGACGATCGGTGCGGCGGAAGCCTTCCTGCTGCATTCGCTCAGACACAGCCTGATAGACATCTGCATTATGATGCACAGTCTGGAGGCGTTGAATGTATTCAGCCTCACCTAGTATGGAGAGAAGAGTTCGCGTCTCCTGTCTGGACCACCGGATGCCCGCACTGCTATTGGAACTGGCCATAGTGGACTGGGAAGGAAGGCTAGCTGACGAAAGCTCCTGGACAGCAAGGTCCAAATCTGAAGGTGTGGGGAAACTCTGGGTGCTTTCCATTTATTTTCAGGAGCCAACAGATTCTTCCTTCTCAGGGCTAGTTGCTGAGAAGCCAGATCCAAGGACCAAATTTCTGGCTGGAAGGCCACAGGGGAATGAGAGTTACAGGAAGGATGTAAGGATAATTGTGGCAACAAGTTAAGCAGTGCTACCTGTAAGTAGGTCACAAACAGGTACGATGCCAAGACTGAGAAAGCCCAACTTTGGGAGTTCAGCCAGTATAGACACTGCCCCAGGGGCTAAAAAGGGCCCTACTGACTTGATAACAAGGGGACTGGCTCCTCCATGGAGGCCAGAATGGTTCCAAGGCTGAAACCTGGGATACTGTGTGTCAGTAAAAACCATCATTGTCTTCTAAGTAGACAGACGAAGTGGGAAATACCTGGAGCATAAGGCAGCTAGCAAGACCATGGTGTAGCAGTTTGTCTGCAGGATACTCATCCTTCACTAACCTTGCTTCAAGCAGCATACTGTGGCTATGTATTACCCATCTGACTGTCACCATTGCACTCCTTCGTTAAAGTTTAACTTTCAGGGCCAGAAAAATAATCATAAATTATTGTTAATACAAAGCTTTTTGCATAATACAGCAAAAGACAACCACATCTTTACTCCAAATGTCTGCCACAAAACAGCAGCATGAAACAAATGGACTACTAGGATCTGTGGACATGTTCTAAATCTTGATTATATCAATGTCAATACCAGATTGTGAGACTATACTATAATTTTGCAAGATGTTATTATTGGGAGAAAGTGATATATGGTAAAGTATAGCATCTCTTTGAATTATTTCTTACATTTATGTACAAGTACGCAAATATTAAAGTTCAATTAAAATTACATATTGTTGGTGGCTTACAGTGAATCTAGCTTCAACATCCATCTACAATTCCTTGTTATTTTTTCAGAACTTATAATTTGAACATATTTGAAAACACCTAATTTATCACCATCATCATCACCACAAAAATTTCAATTCTCTATAAAATGCTGTAGTTTCTGATTTTGTGCATAGCTATCCTAAAAGGGGAGGGGGGGAAGCCAAGTTCAGTTTAACTACAGGAAAAGGATAATTTAAAAAAATTTATATGCATAAAAAAATAAATCAACATTAAGAAAATTTCTATTAAATTCTCAACAGAACAACACAGAAAGAAACCTGAGTCCAGGTTAGGAGTCCCGAATTGTAGTCCTATCTAGTTCACCTCCCTTACTTCTCTGTGCCTTGATTTTTCTCATCTATAACTGGAAAGAGATAAAACCTGCCCCAATGATCTCATAGGGAGTTGAGAGAAATAAAATATAAATGGAAAGCGATAAAACCTGCCCCGATGATCTCATAGAGATTTGAGAGAAATAAAATAATAGATGTGAAAGCACTCTGAAAACTTATACTATTTCAAGTATTACTATTACAGTGAAAATGAAACCCCCTAAGTATTATGATAATTTATAATTTGAGGAGACATGAGTCTGGGGAAGCAAGACTCTTTAATCTTTTAATTAAAGCTGTAACAGATGATTAACCTGATTCTTGCATAAGATGCTACTTAAACTGTTTCTCTAATGATTAAATTTATAAGCCACCGGAAAAGTTAGTTCCCAGAAAGTGTCATAAAAGGACCCAAAGAAAATTGATAGTATCTACATAAATTATAACCAAATGTAATAGATTTTATAAAAATCAACTACAATGCAAAGTAATCAAAGTCCCCCAAAATCTTTCACGTTCCCTCAGTGTAAAAATTCCAAATTACCACCTCTGAATGACACAAATTATCAAAATGAAAGGAATGTTGGTATATATCAATACAAACAGACCTGTCTGCAAGAAACAAACATATGAGTGAAACCCATCTTTGAGAAGATGTGACATTAATCATCAAAAGAAAGTGGCTACTGAAGTACTCTCTGAAATAACTCAGAAAAAAACAAACCCAGAAAAAACAAATGGTGTTTCTAGTTTCATTCCACATTATGCTTAGAATGTAAACACATTTTTATTACCTATATGTTAAAGTAATATTTTATTCCATACCTTCGGCCAAGGATCTGCTTTACTTTCATTACTGTATTTGAAATATTTCTTATTCTACTTTGTTTTGCTGCCAATCCAACCACCTGGAAAAGAGCAATATATTACAATGCATGTAATTTTTACTTATTTCAAAGCAAAAATATGAGGGGAATAGTACCTCTTCATTTTCTGAGTAGGCAACAACAGCTGGAGTAACTCTGTCACCCGCATCATTTGCAACCACATCAGCCCGGCCATCCTGGAGAAAAATATAGTAGTTATTTTGAATTAAATAGACTCATAGGACATACTGAGACATATGTGGGCCAGTGTTACTTTGCCATATATGTGGAAATACTGATCTATCAATATTTTAAACCTGAAGATTTAATTGCAACTATTCATTGACTGGATTTTATGAAAAGGTCAACATTCCATAAAGAACTGCCTCATTTTTCCCAGTCTTCTCTGCATAGTCAATAATGGAAATAAACATAACCTATATCCAATAACAATTTCACCACCCTTTCTACTTCTCTTCCTTCCCCTACAAATACCTCTTTCTTCCCTTTTTCTATTATACATATGATGAAGTGGCACTAACCCTTTGGCTTTTCCTTACAAGTCATCTAACATTTAAACGTGAGTCTAGTGTCAGGGGAGTTCAGTATTATTGTTCCTTCCGCCTCCCCACTGGCGAGGAAGGCCACCACTGCTTGTCACGCTCTCTTCACTTCCAGAAAGGCAAGACACTAGACCCCGCTCCATCAGCTCGCTGCACACGCCGCGCAGGATCAAGGACAGCTCCAGCCCCAGGTCACTGCCTCCCCGCCCCTTCCCGGTAAAGGTCCAGAAACCTCCGGGCCTCCAGCGGTCACTACACCCCGCAGACCCTCCGGGCCTCCTGCGGCCACTACACCCCGCAGACCCTCCGGGCCTCCTGCGGCCACTACACCTCCCACGGCCCGGACGTCCTCGGACCCCGCTTGCCGGCGTCGTCACGACCCTCCCTCCCGGCCGCGGCTGGCTTTCCGGAGCCGCAGGCGATGACGCCGGCCCTTTTACTTCGAAACTTCTCCGCAGTGAAGCCTCGCCGTTCCCCGCGCCGAAGGTGACCAAAGACCTGGACACGCACTCAAACAGCGGGGTGGCTGACACTGGGCCCGCAGCCCAGCCCCCAAGCCCTCACCTTATAGACGGCCACGCAGGCTGATGTGCAGCCCAGGTGAACTCCGATGGCCGCCATGAGGCGGCAGAGAAGGCGGCGGCAGTAGAGTGGTCCCCCGCCGACTACAGGTCTCCGGCTCCCAACATCCCCATCAGGCACCGCGGAGACTCCACGTTCCCGCCCGCCTACTGCGTCGGTCCGAACGTCGCGGCCTCCCGCGTTGTAGCCAATCTGCGTGAAGGTCCCGCCTCTCGCACGGCAGCCGACGAATCGCTTTCGTGCGTCTCTACAGGACCTGCTGAAGCCGCACAGCGTGTGCTGTAGTGCGCACGCGCAGATCAATTTTTTTAAAAAAAGATTTATGTATATACATGTATATAATATTTTTTTAAAAAGAAAAAAAGGAAAGGGCTCCTTCGCTCCGCCGGAATTTTTGCCCCTTCACTGAGAGCCAATGGCAACTTGGTCAAGTGTGGGTTGAGTGAGTTGCGTCACTTGTCCTAGCAACTCCGGGCTCACTCCGCTCCCAGCTTCCGGCGCAGCCGCGCGCCTGCGTCACGGCCCGCGGTGCGTGCAGCCGGCCTGGGCGTCCGAGCTGCCGGCTCAGCATGCGGTGCGCGAGCCCCGCCGTCTGGGTGGCCTTTTGCGCCGGCCTTTGGGTCTCTAACCCGGTGCCGGCGCTGGGCCAGGAGGCCGGGGGGCAGGCGGGGGCCGACTGTGAAGGTGAGCGGTGTGAGACCTGCTTGCATGGCGCTGGCACTGCGCTGCATCGGCCCGCCGTCGGCTTTGGCTTTAGGCCGTGGCTATAAATAACGTCTCACTCAGAACACGCGGGCCCGGTCCAGTGTCCCGGCCCCTGCGCCCGTGCCCAGGCAGAGTTACAGCCCGGCCCGACTCCTGATGGCAGGCAAACGGCTTAGGCTAGGCTGGTGGGTTGGGATCGGGGGTCGGTTTTGTGCGGCAGGATTCAGACGACCTGAAGCTGCCGCTCCAGCCGGCGGGCTGGACTGTGCCTCCTTGCGCAGGCCGTGTCTTTTTCGTTCAAATTAGATTGCAACTCCCCAATGGAAAATACAACATGACAGGTTGTAACGGAGTTGAGGTGGCTTATCTAAGGACCCTGAGGGCATGACGTTTGTTTTGTTAAGACTCCAGGGAAAAGTTGCTTTACAAAGAAGTTATATTAACTTCTTAGAGGAGACTTACAGAAGAACGATTCCTTTTCAGTTCATACACTCTCAGCTGCGGTCTTGAACACCTGCCCTCTGGCTCTGGAGGACATACCTGGTTCTGGCAGAAATCACTATGAGAATACCTCCTTCAGAGGGCTGAGATAAAAGCTGCACTGGCTTAATTCTCCTGCATTACCGGAACACACTTATGTTCCGTTCATTGAAATAATTTAAATGTATATCCTCACTCTTCTGTTAGCTTGTACTCTATCATTCCTTAACAGGAAATTGTAAATACACAGTATACAATTGAATGAATGGGTACACATTGTATTACAACTAAATAAAGCCTCGAAATTGAAGCCCGCTTTTTCTATAAGCCCTGCAATAATTAAATTTTTCTCCAGAAATTAAAAATGTCTACACGATGTATTAAAAAAAAACTTTATGTAGATACTTACTTAGCTAAGTTATAATTTTGTCCTACACATTAAATGCAGAATTTGTGAGGCAGAAACAATTGATTAGTCATCAGTAATTTATTTTCTGTAGCTTCTACCTAAAAACATTTCATAAGAACCAGAGCATCTGCGTTAATTAAATGTGAAGCTTATGGCATCTTTCCTGAACTTACTATAGCATATTGTGATTATTAATTTGCATGTCTAACCTGGGTGTTCATTTCCTTTGTTTAAAGAAGTTATAGAATTTCAGCAAAGGAAATTCTAGTTTTAGAATTAAGAAATAGATTGTAGATCTGGTTCTCTTACTGCATATGAGTTTTTTATTACTAACCACTTAATCTCCCTGAAGGTATAAGATTAAAATGCTATATGCACATTACAAGGCAAAGGTAAAATAATGATAGTCCATGAGCCACCTAGACCTATTGAAATGTTGTTTGCAAAATGTTTTAAAAAAATATTTAAACCAACTGGCTACTTTTAAAATTGGAAGACTTCATATTTAAAAATTCAGATTTCTGCCTTTTCTTAAAATTCAGGTGACCTGTTAAGACTAGCCCATATGTCCAAGTAGTGGGATCTGGCTGTGGCTGCTCTTTTTAGAAAGGACATGTGTTCTCCAGGTCTTGTTTCTGTCTTTCCTACTCGGATTTCTTTCACCCATTCATTTTACTTGCCTGAACCATGAGATTATTTAATTTTCTGACCCCTGCATTAATTAGGTCATATGAGGCTTACTGGAAAAATAGAAAAATTTTCAGATCTTATTAAAAACATGGTATTATGGTACAGTCATGGTAAAAAAAAATAAGAAAAAAAAGCATCATATTATGATACTAAGAAAAGCCACTTTTATTTTTAAATAATTTTAGGTTTGTTTATGGGACTATTTTAATAATAATAAAAAAAAGCCCACATCAAATAAAAGAGCATCCTTATCTAGTTATAGCAATAAATACATGCCAGAAACTTAACTTACTAATTTGTTAGGCAATTAATTTATGGTGAGGTTATTCTCTTCATGTAAGCCCAAGGAGTAAATTTCCATTCTTTTTAAAAAATAGGTATTTTATTGATTTTTTTATATAGCGAAAGGGAGAGATAGTTAGAAATATTAGTGAGAGAGAAACATCAACCAGCTGCCTCCTGCATACTCCCCACTGGGGATGTGCCCTCAACCAAGGTACATGCCCTTGACCAGAATCCAACCTGGGACCTTTCAGTCCACAGGCCAACACTCCATCCTCTGAGCCAAACCAGTTAGGGCAAATTTCCATTCTTACCTTGACTGTGGCATGGGACACCACTGACTTCTTTCTCTTTCAGAAGCTTCCTTCTTTTGATGGCATTGATGCTGAACGCTTTTTTCTTGCCTTTACTTCCTATCTCTGCCACCTTGTTCATGGTACCTTTCTGATTCTCTAGCCAAGTCTTCACTATTAGAATTTTCCAGAGTTCTGTCTTCTGCCCACTCCTATTTTCTCATTCTACACACTTTTCTGTACAATCAGAATCCATCTAACTATAGTCTGGTTAATCCCAAATATTTATATCTAATCCTCCTCCTTTTGAGAGTCCCAGAACTTACATCCAATTGACTACTGGACATCCCCAAAGTCATCATCTTCTCCCTTCTCAGTCCCCAAAACCTATTATGCTTGTGTCAATATCTACCTGGTAAACTAGACTAGACTTTTCTTCCTCCCTGATCCCTTATGCCCATCAGTCACTATGTCCATTTATTCTACCTTCTGATTGTCTCCTTTCCCCTTCCCCAGCTCCATTGCCTTGTTACAGATAATTCACCATTTATCTTTCTTCTTCCTTCTTGTCACCTTTCTTCCTCCTTTCTAGTCTATAGCAGTGTTATCATGCTACTCCCTTATTTAATATCTTTCAGTGGTCTCCCACTTTCCCCCAGGTCTGTGTTTCTATATTTTCCCCACAGTATCCAATAGAGTTCTAGTGTTCAGTAATTGTTCTGAACAAAGGTATGTATATACACTGAGTGTGTATGTGTGTGTGTGTGTGTATGTATTACAGGCCTGGTGCATGAATTCGTGCATAGGTGGGGTCAGGCAAGCCTGCACATGGGGAGGGAACATGGGTGGTTGGCCGGCCTGCCTGCTTGTCGAATTCCTGGTCCAGCAGACAATTTGCACATTAGCCTTTTATTATATAGGATATACACTGAGTGGCCAGATTATTATGTGTTCAGAGATCCTAATAATCTGGCCACTCAGTGTATGTTGTTATCAATCCACAGTGGGATCCAGTTAAAGAAATTCTGAAGTTGACTTTTGCCTTGAGAGCATTTGCTACATAGCATTCTGAACTTAGGTTTTCATGGCTTTGGGTACATGGAAGAGAATAAAAAAGCGAAGACTTTCCCAAGTTAGAAGTGTAATACTAGGTCCTTTCCCTTCCCCTTTGCTAATTAATTTGGAACTCTAAAGAACTAGACCTTCATTATGAAAGGTAAGGGTGTGTGTGTGTGTGTGTGTGTGTGTATAAGAACAACTCTACTACCATCTTCACAGACTAAAAAGGAATTGTATTACTTGAACTTTTTAAGTATTAACGGGAAACAAAAATATCTCCCAATAATTAATAATCACAAGCTAATTCACATATGGTCTGAAGCCCAAATTCATGTACCATGGATGGTTCAAAACATTGTAAATAGATAATTTAAAGGAGTTTCAAGCAAACATCAACAAATGCTAGTCTTACCTATAGGAATCCTCCTTCCACCTAGTCCACATGTGTCAAACACAAGGCCCGCGGGCCAAATCCGTCCCGCCAGGCTTTGCAATGTGGCCCGCACCGCGCTGTCATCACTGCACTCCGCCGCGTTTCCATCACAATGACAGTTTATGACTGTTCAGTAAACCATTCGGCCCGCGATTTAGGCTGGATTTTAGATTTTGGCCCCTTCTTTGATTGAGTTCAACACCCCTAACCTAGTCCTCAAATAATTCCCACAGCTGAAGTTCCAAGAAATAAAGCTTATATTCAGAAAAATGACAAACCCATAGAAAATAAAGGCACCATAAGTGATAGCCAGTTGAGACTAGAGACAGAGAAACACACCAGAAAAGACTCAGGTATTGGAATTACTAGGGATCTATAACAATCTAAGCATAATATGCTAATTATGCTGGACAGCTGAATGACCTTCCGGAGGAAGCCAGGGTTGTGAGGGCTGAGGCAAGCCACCACAACTGTGAGGGATGAGCGTTTTACACGAATTTCGTACATCGGACCTCTAGTAGAATATAAAATGTTTACCATGTTTAAAGAAACAAAGGAAGGAATTGAAGATATAAAGGGCAGGAGGCAATTAATAAAAGTCCAACCATAGCTAAAGAAAACCCCCCAAACTTCTACAAATAGAAATTAATGGGTTAACAGATTAAACAGCTGAGAAAAGAATTAGTGAGTTAGAAGATTGAAGTAATTATCAAGAAGGAATCTTTGAGATATAAGAAAGAAAATTTATGAAAGGAAGATGAAGGTAAAATGAGGATACAAAGGAATTCTGACATAGGTTAACTGGACTTCCAGAAGAAGAGGATAGCTCAATTTTCCAAACTCATGGGTGACATGAATCCACAGATTGGGAAGTCCAATATGCCCCAAACCAAAGCAATAAGATTGTATGACTAATACCTAATCACATGATAAAGGAATTGGGAGGGGAAAAAAAGAGAAAATCTTAACCACAGAGGAAAAAGACTGATGACCTTCAAATGAATGGTGATTAAATTGACAGATGAATTAGCAATGCTTTAAAGGTTCAAGGTCCCACAGGTAGTAGGGAGTAAAGCCAGAATTTGGACCCAGGGAGGCTGACACCAGAGCCTGAGCGCCAAAAGTTTGCAGGTTCAATTCCAAGTCAGATTGTGTATGGAAGGTAACCAATTGATATTTCTCTCAGATTGATGTTTTTTCTCTCTCTTCCTCTAAAATCAATAAGCATATCCTCAGGTGAGGATTAAAAAAAAAGAATCATGCTGGTTAGAATTTAGAATGTGAGTCAGTTTATAGCAATCCTCTGGCCAGGTGGTGCTACAAATACTGGTGAAAAATTAAAAATATAAAAGAACCAAAGAGCTGGCAAAGACTGAATAGAACAAAGTGGAAAGGAAAGCAACAATTCTGAGAGAGAAGTCATTTTGCCTTGGGGACACTGGCCAGTCAGTGTAAAGGTGACCTTTGGTGTGAGGGATACAGAAGACTTGTTTTAAGTGGCAAATCTGTCTACTAGAACTCTTTCACATTAACCTGGTGTCTCCAAAGAATTTTTCTCAAATTAAGGTTGAATAAGTAGTAAAGTTAGCCCATCCTTACTCATAAAAGATCATAAGGAAATTTTCCTTGATGCTGAGCAGGGTAGAAGAAAAGGAAAAAGAAAACATCTCTGAGAGATTATAACCACAAGATGTCCCTCACTTGAATTTGCAGTCAAAATTCACATCAATTCTCAAAAAACTTCAAAGTATCTTCTTAGTTTAATGAGGTTCCAGTTAGACCTGATAACTACAAACACAAATCCTTTATGGAAATAAGGCATCTTTATCTTAGGCCTCACATAATCTCCACAAATATGTTTCAAGGACTGTGGACATTTTGCAGGACAAAATAACCAAGCACACAACAAAACAAGGCACCAGGAGCAAGAATCATAGAACAAAAAAAGAAACACGGTCATAAACTATTAGAGATCAGAATTATCAAACACAGATGATAAAACAATTATGCTACACACACACGTGCACACACACACACACACACACTGAGTGACCAGATTATTATGATCTCTGAACACATAATAATCTGGCCACTCAGTGTATATCCTATATAATAAAAGGCTGATATGCACATTGTCCCCTTGACCAGAGTTCAACCAGCAGGCAGGCCAGCCAACTGACCATGTCCCCTCCCCCTGGCCAGGCTAGCCAGACCCCACCCATGCACGAATTTATGCACCGGGACTCTAATATATATATTGAGTGACCAGGTTATTATGCATTTAGATATCATAATAATCTGGCCACTCAGTGTATAGGTTCAATGAAATTCCTATCAAAATACCAATGATGCATTTTACAGAACTCGAATAGTCCAAAAATGTATATGGAGCCACAAAGACCCTAAATAACTACAGAAATCTTAAGAAAGAAGAACAAAGTTGGAGGAATCATTACCTGATGTCAAACTATGCTACAAACTTACAGTAGTCAAAGCAGCATGGTACTAACATAAAAACAGACATATAGATTAATGAAACAGAAAAGGGAGCCCAGAAATAAATCCATGCCTTTATGATCAACTACTATTGGACAAAGGAGTCAAGAACATGCAATGGGATAAAAACTGTTTCTTCAATATTGGTATTGGGAAAATTGGATATAAATGTGCAAATAAATGAAACTAGGCCACCTTCTTACACCATATACAAGAATAAAGTAAAAATGGGTTAAAGACTTAAATATAAAAATTCAAAAGCACGCCGAAAACGGTTTGGCTCAGTGGTAGAGCATCGGTCTGCGGACTGAAAGGTCCCGGGTTTGATTCCGGTCAGGGGCATGTATGTTGGTTGCGGGCACATCCCCAGTAGGGGGTGTGCAGGAGGCAGCTGGTCGATGTTTCTCTCTCATCGACGTTTCTAATCCTCTATCTCTCTCTCTTCCTCTCTGTAAAAAATCAATAAAATATATTAAAAATAAATTCAAAAGCATAAAATTCCTAGAAGAAAGCATAGGCAGTAAAATATCTGACATCTCTCTTAGCAATATTTTTCTGATATATCCTTAGGCAAGGGAAACGAAAAAATAAGCAAATGGAACTTTGTCAAACTAAAAAGTTTTGCACAAAGAAACTATCAGAAAAAGAAAAGAAAACAAATTTACCAATTATACATCTGAAAATGGGTTAATATTCAATATTCAGAAAGAACTCATATAATTCAACACCAGAAAAGCAAACAATCCAGTTAAAAAATGGGCAGAGGGCCTATGGAGACACTTCTCCAAAGAGAGCACAGAGATGGTGAATATACATATGCAAAGATGCTAAACATTACTAATCAAATAAATGTTAAATATCCCACAATGAGATATCACCTTACACCTGTCAGAATGGCTATCATCAATAAATCAACAACAACTGTTGGTGAGGATATGGAGAAAAGGAAACTCTTATGCACTGTTGGTGAGAATGCAGATTTGTACAGCCACTATGGAAAACAGTATGGTGTTTCCTCCAAAGATTAAAAATGGATCCAATGATTCCACTTCTAGGTATATATCCAAAGAAACCCAAAACACTAGATTGAAAGAATATATGCACCAATATGTTTATTGCAGCATTATTTACAATAGCCAAGATATGAAACCAACACAAGTGCCCATCAATAGATGAGTGAATAAAAAAGTGGTGGTGCATATATAAAATGGAATAATACTTGGCCATAAAAATGGATGATATCTTCCTGTTTGCAATAGCATGGATGGATTTAGAGGGTATTATGCTGAGTGGAATAAGTCAGACAGAAAAAGACAAATACTATATGATTTCACTTATATGTTGAATTTAAAGAGAAAATAAATGAACAAAAAAAATAGAAACAAACTCATAGATACAGAGAAAAGACTAGTGGTTTCCAAAGGGGAAAGGGTTGGAGCCCTGGGTGAACAGGTGAAGGGATTAAGAAGTCCAAATTGGTGGTTAAAAATCATCATGGGGATATAAAACACAGCATAGGAAATATAATTAAAAATCCTATCTAATAAAGAGGGAATATGCAAATTTACCACCACGCCATCACAAAATGGCAGTGCCCACAGCAGAGGTGGGGTTTCCGTAACACAAGATGGCTGCACCCACAGCGAAGACTGAGTTCCCATAATGAGCTTTAACAAGCAATCAGCAGGGACCTGAATCTTGGTCCCCATTCTGGCACTGGACTGGACGACCTGAGGCTGAGTCCTCCACCTGATGGGGCTTCATGGGGGATCTCAAGGTGTGTCCCCCACCTAGTGGGGCTTAATAGGGAAACTGAGGCTGCACATGTACCCAGCGGGGCTTGACGGGTGTCCTCAAGGTGTGCCCCCCACCCCAGTGCTGGGCTGGGGACCTCAGGCTGTTCTTCCTGCCCTGGGCCAGGGGACCTGAGGCTGCACCCCCCCATCAGGCAGGGGTTGATGGAGGATCTCAGACCACAACCTGCCTGGTGGGGGCTTGATGGAGTATTTCATGGCATGTCCCCTGCCCTGTGGGGTTTGACAGAGGACCTTAAGGCATGACTCCCTGCCCAGCAGGGCTTGACGGGGGATCTTAGGTCGCATCCCCCATCCAGCTGGGCTTGATGGAGGACTTCAAGGTGCTCCCCCCGACCTGTCCCAGGCTGGGGGACCTTAGGCGGTGCCCCCCACCCCGGCACCAGGCCAGAGGACCTCAGGCTATGCCACCAGACCTGGCGCTGGGCCAGGGGACCTCAGCCAAAATTTGTAGGAATATTTTAATTTCAGGTGGAACTTGGTTCTGAAGATGGATTGATTGATTCTATAATCTCATATTACTCAAAGCCCAATCCTAAACTAATAGTTATAGGCCCAAATCATTCTTCCTAAAATTTTAACTCATTGTCACAATACATTGAATCATACTTACATTTTTATTTGATGAGTAGGACATATACATATTGTAGTAGTGGTTATCTTGTATATAAATACATAACTTCTTTGTTCTTTCTAGTATGTGAAGAATTCTTGAACCGATTCTACAATTCCTTGATAGCCAGAGGAATTAACTTTTCTCTGGACACCATAGAAAGAGAATTGGTCAGCTTTTGCTTGGGCGTCAAAGGAAAAGAAAACCGCCTGGTATGGTATATTTTCACTTTGTACTTGAGGGAAAGTGCTAATACTTACACTTCTTATGTTGGACTTAATGTCCTCCTGATTATGCTGACCTCAGGCATGTTCACTGTAGAGAGCAAGCAAAAATTGATCATCCAGTGAAATGCAGTCATATGAATTTTCATCTAGAATACATCTGATTTAATTTTGCTTTTGGACAAACCACAGACAACCAAGCCCATATTTTCTCAGTAAAATTATACAATTGAATGTCTAATTGAGAATTTACTGTCCTGAGTTAAGAATGGATAGACTTTCCATTTCTTACCGAGGCAATTAGTTCAACCTTTCCAAATATTTTATATTATTATTTATACATAACCAATGAAATTTTCATGTATTTGTATAATATTTTTTTTATTTGTATAATATTTCCTGGATACACACAAATGACTTTTTAAATAAATTGGTTTATATCACTAAAAACAATCTTAGGGCAATTCCTTTTGCCTAAAATGGTCATGTTTAATTTCCAGTTAAAGTTGCATTGCTGACAGCTTCACCTCTGGCACATTTAAAGCTCTCAGCATTTATTTGTATCATTAAGTTTTATGTTTTTAAGTGTGAAATGCTTAAGTCGGGTAGCTTGAAAGGTAGTATAACATGAAAAAGTGCACTGACTGTAGGGCCCAATTGCTAGATTTAAAAAAAAAATGTACCTCTTCTACTTGCTAGCTGAGTGACCTTCAGTTGGCTTGGGTATGAAATGGGGATAATAATGTACTTACTGCACAGGATTGTTGTGAGAATTAAATAAGTCCATATGTGTAAAGCCCTGAGAGCAGCACCTGGCACAGGAAAACACTCAGCAAGCCTTGGGGCATCATGTGACCTGTCGGGCACATCTAATTAGGATGATCATGGGAATGCAGTCATTTGTTTTCTGGTGTCTCGAAATTTAATAGCGTGGCCATGAAAACTAAGTTAACCTCTTTCTTACTTTTCAAAACCTTATCACTTGCTTATCTCAGTGTCTGGGCCACTAAGTTCTCTTCATTCTCCATCAGTGCTATTATCTAGGAGCAACAAAAGATGCAGCCACAAAGATCCTAAGTGAAGTCACTCGTCCAATGAGTGTGCACATGCCTGCAATGAAGATTTGTGAGAAGCTCAAGAAGATGGACAGTCAAATCTGTGAGCTGAAATATGGTATAATGGAGTCAAGTCTTTTTTTCCCTAGGATGTGTGAAGTATTGCCAATTCTCGAAACAGGCTATTTTTCTATAAAGTCACTTGTTAGAAGGAAAGAAATTCTCTATTTGTCATTATGTTGTTAGGCTGCTGAATGATATTTAATGCCACTTGATCTTTTTTGGGGGTAAGAGAAATAAATATTGGCACAATCAGGTGTAGTTAAAACTGTCATCCCAACTAGGAGAGTTAAATCACCAAGGCAGTGTCAACTGTGTATGTCAAGGAAAACTTCAAAATATCGGGGAACAACTACTCATTGTAATTCAGCTCTTGGCAACCTATTAAGGAAAGTTGCATCTATCCAAAGATTCAAAGGTGATGTAAAGACTTTGAAGTTTTAAATGTGTGTGCATCTTTTCCCTTAGATTTGCCTATTATTCTGTCAGCTTTAAATTTTGGTAAATAGATAATTCACTTCAAATCAGGTTTTGCCAATGAAATAACCTTATTGAGGGTGCCTAAAATAAACAGTGAGGAAAGAAAGATATTTAAATAATTATCATTGATCTTATATATTTCACAAAGATAAATCTATTCTTATACTGAATCTTTCTTACTGGGCCAGTCTTTTTGGGTAGATTGAGTAGGTATGATAAATGCTGGGAGGATTCCTCCCTTAGCCTAGCCTTAATACCTGAAATTCCACCAATAGAGACCCATTTCTTTTGTTCAAGTCATTGTTTTATGTTACATACCAGTGTAGTATTGTAAACTACCTAATTGGCACCCAGTTCCTAATTATTTTTCAACAGAGCTGTGTAATATGTCTATGGACCATAACTATATAGCTGGCTTTAAATAGGATTAAGGTTAGAAGGTATAAAAAAAAATGCCAGGTTTCTCAATTTGCCAATGGCAGGCCCAACTTCCAGGGTAGTGATTATGGGACAGGCATCCCTTTTTATTGGCTTTCAAGTAATGAAGTAGAGGCAGGAATCACTGAGTCCATATAAACAATAGTCTTGAAAGGGACAAACCTAGGCTGAATCTTTAATTCAATACCTTTATTTTGAATATCTTCTATTATGTGCCAGAGATGTTACTAGGTTCCTTGAATAATAGAAAAATTAAACATATATTATTAAGAAATGAGTATTTACTAGTATTTGGGCAATGGTGGCCACTAGAGGCCCTTGGGGAATCATGAACTAGTTTTGATTTTAGTATCAACCTTTTTTTTTTTTTTTTTTTTTTTTTTTAGTTTTGGGGTGTCATAGAGGTTTTCCATTTTTAAAATTAATACCAGATTCAAAGTTCTTTAGAATAGCTCAAGGAAACTACTGACACTTGAAAGAAAATATATTTCTCCTTCAACCATTTATCTTGAATTGACCACTAGTCATAATTTTTTGTTCCCTACTTATTGTTGGCAAGAAAGTTGAGACTGAACAGGGGCCTTTGAGTGGGATATTAATAATTTGGGCTATAAATGCTTCTACTTTTAAAGGAATTCTTCAAGTTATCCATGCCAGTATGATCAAGGTAAGTGTAGAGTTGGATATGTTTTCAATTAGGATGGTGTCATTTGGTTTTTGACCTGAAATAATATTTTTTCTTGTTCTGTATCTTAAAAGGATGGGGATCACTATAAAAATATAAGGGTGGCTGACCTTTTCATGTGTATTTGACCCTCCAAATAAACAGTGCTTTAAAATCCAACTTTTATTATTGAGATATAATTGACTTAAAACATTGTATAAATTTAAGGAAAATTACTCCTTTCAGATAGGAGAATTATAATCATAAGTATATTATAGGTAAGCTTAATTTATTTTTCTGTTTTGGGGCTTGACAATGGAGAAGCAGTTGAGTCTTAACATTCTCCGCAGACAATTTGTGAAAAGGGAAATGGTAGTCTTGCTAAAGGAGTTAGATGTTGGTGACAAGTATTATTGGCAAGAATGTTAGAAGCTAGGTTGGCTGGCACTGAAGCAGCAGCATAGAGAAGTGGGTATCCCCCAAAGGACTGTAAGTGAATGCTGTGATAAATTAGTAATTCCAGTAGGGGTGGGGGATCAGGCGAGGTTAAGCAAAAACAAATAAGGATCAATAAAAATGCTCCTAAATATATTCACGTGTTTGAATTTCTATATATTTGTATTTAAAGATTTTGTAGCCATAACTTTCTAGTTATTTATGGCCTATGGATTTCAGCTGGCCACACACGGCTTGTCCCAAGGCATCCCTTTTTATTTATTTATTTATTTATTTATTTATTTATTTATTTATTTATTTTTAAGGCATCCCTTTTTATTGGTTTCCTTCTTTTACCTTAGGAGCAGTAATTAGAATGTGTGCTGTTATTTTAGGATTGTTGATCTTGAGAAGGCATGGGGCGGTAACAGCAGTTTTGAAGCCCCCGTTTTGAAGCAAGTATAATTCCATGGAGAGAAAGTCTGATGGAACAACTTATCCCACTAGCTCTGTATATATACACTTTCTTTAGGTTCTTGATTTCCATTGAAATTGGAACTGTTCTCCACATTGGGTCATAAGGTTGCCAGCACCCAGATTAAGTAACACCATTTGCCTTTCTAAACTTTTCAGAGTTGTTTTTTAAAAATTGTGTTTTTCCTTTTTGTCATTTAGAAAAGAAATTAGACTTAGCATCAGTGGACCTATGGAAGATGCGAGTGGCAGAGCTGAAACAGATCCTGTACAGCTGGGGAGAAGAATGCAGGGCCTGCGCGGAGAAAGCCGACTACGTGAATCTGATCAAGGAGCTGGCACCCAAGTATGCAGCAATGCACCCCAGGACAGAGCTCTGACCCTGGAATGCTGGGGCACCATTGGTTGTAATTAGAGGCAAAATGAGTCCCTAGGATATGGATGAGTTGGCTGAGAGTAACCAGGAATTGCACTGTGCATGGTCGAATACATTTTGTTTTTGATATGACACTTCAGGACTGGTTGCTTGGGTTTGTAAGTAAAACTATTAATATTAATGGTATCTTACATTTTCAGTGTACCAAAACCTAAAAGTGCCTTTCTCATAGATTTCCTTGTAAGGATTGTGTAAATGATCATTGGCTATCTCCCAAAATTGGGGAAATCGAACTATTGAAAAATTGGTGTAGTAAATTCATTTTAAGAAGAAGAATAATGCTCACAGATCCCTCTCTGTGAACAAATATTTAATTGAATGGATTGGATTAGGACAAAAGGAACAATGTTTAGCTTATTAACTCTACACTTCAACTCAATAATAACCTGGCATAATAAAAAAATTTTTTTTTAAGTAAATTGTATTTTCAACTGCAAGTTGTTCTACTTTCTAGTTCTTCTGATATCAGAAATTAGAGGGCAGGAGGCACTACTTGAAATCAGTCTCCCATAAGAAGAAAACCTATATAAAACTTCTTTATAGCTCCTTAAAGGAAATAGATCAAGAATCCACTTAAGTGTAGTCAATGTTTTAGCAAATTGTATCAACACAGGAGAACAAAACTCAAGGTCTTTTGCATGCCTTTCTATCACACAGTAGATAAGCTTTTGATAGAGTATTAAAACATATTAAAAGAGCACATGCAGGCAACATGGAACTTTATGGTTTTCAGTACTATTTTATCAGCTTTAAATTGTAAAAATAATTTTTGGTTCCATTTTCTGGTCACATAAGAAGGAGATCTGCTGTAGAAGTGGCTGCCTCTGTGTGGCAGGTGGAGGTGGGGAATGACTGCAGAGCAACTTGAGAGAACTTTCTGCGGTGATGGGACGGACCCCCTATGCTTAGATAGTGGTTACATGGGTGAATATTATTGTTAAACTCATCTGGTAGTAAAATGAAGATCTGGGTATTTTGTTGTATGTAAATTATATCTAAAATACTGTTGTAGAAAAACTATTTGGAAAGTAACTAAAATTAAATGATTCAAAACTTCTTGTGCTTTTAAAGAATTGCAATTACTGACTGGGAGTCCTTTTTCGGGGTGGAGTCCTCAGTGGTCTGGGGCTGAGTTGGTGGGCTTAGAATGTGGATGGAATGCGGATGTGAGATCAGGTATCTTTAGGATAGTTTTATTTATTTATTTATTTATTTTAAATCAATCTTTATTGTTCATATTATTACAAAGGTTCCTCATTTCTTCCCCCCTCCACCAGGTTCCCACCCCACCCTCCGCCCCCTTCCCCTCCCTCATTGTCCTCATCCATAGGTGCACAGTTTATGTTCAGTCTCTTCCTCCCTCCCTTTCCCCGATAGTAAATCCCTTTTCAGATAGTAAATCAGTTACTTAGCATTTTCTCATATCAATAATATTGATACCTCCATATGCCCAAAGATACACTTCACACAAAAGACATTTCCAAATAGGTCAACCAACCTCATCCAGGCCCCACACAAGGCACTCACAGATCAACACCCCAGCACTATACTATTAATAACACAACATATCCAGATCTAAGCCTTCATCACTTGATTCAGCAGACCCTCAAGTTCCCGTAAAAGTTTCCAGCTATGTCTGAGAGGCAGCCTTGGGGGGGGGGGTGTGTGTGTCAGTTGAGGAGCGAGCTGTTCCGGGCTTGGCTGCTCTGGGCCTGGCCTCTGTTGCTCTGGTCCGTTCCACAACCAGCTGCTCTGGGCCTGGCCATACCCAACCCGGCTGCTCTGGGCCCCGCTGCTCCAGACCTGGCCGCTCCAGGCCTGGCCGCTCCCAGCCTGGCAGCTGCTGCTCTGGGCCTGGCCACTTCCAGCCTGGCAGCCGCTGCTCCGGGCCTGGTTGCACCCGACCTGGCTCCTCCGGTCCTGGTCGCTCCCAGCCTGGCAGCCGCTGCTCCGGGTCTGGACGCACCCGACCCGTCTGCTCTGGGCCTGGCCGCTCCCAGCCTGGCAGCTGCTGCTTGGACAGTTTTAATTCCTTATATGGTCTGATTCCTGGTGTCCAGCAAGTTTTTCCTGGTCTTTGTTTTCCTGTAGTGGGAAGCTTACAAATGGCTGTTAAGGATTCTATTGTCTTATAGTCCTAACACTGTTTTCTTTAGGGCATTTTGAACCTATTGAGAAAGTTGTTATTTGAAAAAATATGTTTGACATCTGATCTCAAAATCAGGTAATATATTTAGGGTCTTTTTCCCCCAGGTATAAATCTAGTAATAAGAATATTGCCCAGCAAGTCATTCAAATCCATGCTATTTAGTCTAGTTTCTCAAAGGGAATTTAATCTAAGTCACTGCTACTCCAACTTCTCAAACTGTGCATCCAGATCACCTGGGGATCTTGTTAAGATGAGAATTTGGAATTAGTAGATCTTGGAGGGGCCTGAGCCTCGGCATTACTAGCAAGGCTCCAGTGATACCCAGGCTGCTCTTCCAGGGACCACACGTTAAGTAGCAAGAGCCTGAGTCATGGATCCTGTGATTTATTTTTTCCTTCTGCCAGTTCAATCAGTTAGGTTTATGATAGAGCTGAATACAACCATAATGACAAAACAACAACAATAAAATCACAAGCATTGATTCCTTCATGTAAAAGTAGTCCAGAGGTAGCCAGTCCAGAGTAAATATGGCACTTCTAGAAAGTTCTGAGGGACTCAGCTCTTATCTTTTTGCTTCATATCCTAGTTGTAGGTTCCATTTTAAATCCTGGCCCAGTTGGCTGCTGGAACCCTGCTCCAGAAGGCAGAAGGCATGAAAAGACTGCCTCTGCACAAAGTCAGCCTCTTTGGGGCAGCCTTTCCCCTCCTCACCCCTTTTCATGCTATTTGCTTTTTCATAAATATAGCCAGTTATGTCTTCTTTTTTCATTTGTCAAGAAGTAGCAACTGTTTTTCTATTTTATTTTTATTTTAAATTCCTCTCTCTCTCTCTCTCTCTCTCTCTCTCTCTCTCTCTCTCTCTCTCTCTCTCTCTCTCGTGTGTGTGTATGTGTATGCATTTTTGGTGTGCTTTTACCCAAAATCTATAAGTACATAAGATTAAGAAGTCAGACATTCTGACAGAAATGACAAAACTCTGGACTAAGACTTGCATTTAAATAGCAGTGGTTTGGGTCAGACTTTATTCCTGATCTACTCTAAATTTCTAAAGTTCCAAGCAGACAGCCTTTACTTTGTTTCCTAAATACACATGGGAGACTAGATATAACATTTGGGGCACAGTTTAAAGGTTGTAGATCTTTGAGTATGGATATCTGTAACCCACATTCTACCAAAGAGGGTTAAATTTAGAACAAAGTAGCAGCATGTAGAACAAGAAAATATTTGACTATGAAATCCCTAAAAAAGAGCAGAGCATTTTGTGATCCAGAGGCCCTATCTGTGAGCTTGAGCAGCTCTTGATACATGTCTTCTAGCAGATATCTGAGTTTACCCATCGACTCTCATTCAGAAGAACTGATTGTCAGGTGCCCATTCTTTTATAGTGTGTTTGAAATAAAATAATTCCAGCAAGAGAGAACTTGAAGAGAGAATGAATAGTACATATTATTATGTTTTCTGGGTGGGTTTTTTTTTTTTTTTGTATGCTTTTCATCTACAAAAATTTGAGAATTTGGATCGTGCTGGCATCTCTGGTGCTGAATTTCTAGAGCTCACCAGAATTTAAATTAAAAAAATTTAATGTGTGAGACTGATAAATTAAAATTTTAAATGTAATATTTGCTGGAGGTAAGGTTGTTAGTGTTAGTGAAGTGGATCAGTTTTAAGGCAGTATATATATATATTTTTAAACTTAGGTGATTTCCCTATGAGGCTGTCCTAGGTGCTGTGTACCGTGTTTCCTCGAAAATAAGACATCCTCCAAAAATAAGACCTAGGCATGGAAAGATAAGACATCCCCTTAAAATAAGACCTAGCACAACTTTGGGAGAAAAATTTAATATAAAACACTGTCTTATTTTCGGGGAAACAGGGTATATATCTAATTTGCCAGCCCCCCTGCCAGCAGTGCTATTTTCTTGGTGTGTTAAGCTCAGCCTACCCAGTTGGCTCTTCCAAAGTTTTGTGGTTGACCCTGCAAGTTAACATACCTGGTCTGGCAAGTTGAGCATGTTCTGTGAACATATCCCTGTTTATGAAAATACTGTAGATTAGTTGAATTATACTGTGGAAGAGATGGATTAATCAGAATTTAGAACAAAAGAAACAAAAAGAATGCATAAGGACATGGAATAGAGGTCCACATCCATTACCAAAATACTTGGAGCTTGGTATTCTTGGAATTCATAACATTTTTCAGGTTCTGAAAGGATACTATGGTGCACATACTAAATATTTTATAGGCGCTTGGGCCAGCACCCTGTAACACTCTTCCATAAATCCAGACCAGGCTTTGTCAACAGAAGAAGTCAGGTCGGGTTTTGCTTGTCAAAGAATTACAGGAAAGGAACTTTTTATTTTCAGATCTCTTTGGGTTTTTGAATCTTGGATGAGAGATTGTGGCTCTGGTGACTCCAATTTGGGTGTTATTAATCATTAAGTAAGACTTTGGGCCTCCTTAGAACCTCTCTACCTCCAAGGATTAGTCTCCCACAGACAGGACTTCTTTCTTCTAGAAAGGAGTTGAAAAGCAGCTGCCGGGGCCTCAGAGAATTAGGACTCCAGGTGCCTGTTCTTCCCTCTTGGGCTACAAGCATCCCCTGAGCATAGTGCAGGATAGACATAAATATCCACCGAGGAAATGTGCACACCATGTTGTTTTCCATTCAAACAGGTGGGTCAGCTGAAGTTTCTCCTCTTCAGGTCATGACAACGAAGCAGCAGAAAGAAGTATCTGCTCCCCCTTTCTGCAACCACCACCTTGATGACTTTTCTCATCAGTCTGAGGCCTGCTCAGCCTTTGCCACTAGCTGTCTGGTAGTTGCTGTAGCTGCAATGTTTACAGGACTGCAGAAGATGTTGTTTACAGGGCTCTTGCCTTTTTTCCTTTTAAATTTTTAAAACCTGTTTTGGAAAGAACAGATCAAATGTTGGCTCCTTAGTGACAGAACAGCTATATATATGTTCTGAGGGATCTTGGTCTGTGCAGTTTTTAGCAGGCAGTGAACTTGCTCACATGATAGATACTATCTCAGAATGTGCATCTATCTCAGTAATTTAGGTGTTCTCATTCCTGATTCTTCTATTGTCAGCCAAATATTTACTTCTTATATATCTCTATTCCTTCTGAGTCCTAAACTAATACATTACTTGTTTCTCTCAGAAAGCAGTCTGGAGTTTTCTCCTTTCCAAATTATATTCAAATGTAAATATTTTTGCTTCCCCAGAAAGTTCAGTGTCACAGCACCTTGACTTTAGG